GACTGGGAGCTGCATGTGGCCTACAAGTCACATATTTATCAATGTTGGCTTGTTAACCATTGTAAGGGTCCTGACTAACTGGAAACCTGAACTCAAATTTTGCTCGTTCATGTGCCACGCTCCACAAATACCACACTAGGAGCACCATGACCCTTTCAATCTCCATCTAAAGAATCTCAGAACGTGTGGTATGCCAGGCTCTAGTAGTCTGCAGCTACACACTTCCCATGTCATCCATTGGTAAGACCTGTGTTTTGTGAATTACAGCTGATGCAACATTACTTCCAGCACAACAAAATTTGCAAGTGCTTATTTTAACTGATCTCACATGGAAACTCATTAAGCTCAATCCATTGAAAATGGGTCATGACTAAGACTCACTGAAAGCTACGGAGTGGAAAAGGTGCTTTACAACCCCAACCAGTTTGTCCTGTAGAATGAATTATCATTGCCATTTTACAGACAGAATTATTACTGTCATAGTTGAGAGATTCCAAGTAGAAATTAGTGTAACAATACAGAAGGAGCAAATGACAACCTATTAATGAATACTCAGGGTCTCTTCTGATATTTCTTTGCCAAACATTCAGCAAGTGGCCCCTAGGTTAGTCATTTTCTCTCTTTGTCCACAGGATTTCTCTGTGGCAAAAATGCTGTTCCAGGAACTTTGGAGAAGACTATGGGCCTCGGCAGACGACTAATAAAGTCGTCTTCCGGGCAGGGAAGAGGAGGGGCAGCCGCACGAGCGGCACCCCTTCCTCTCCCCGAGGTCGCCCCCAGAAGCGCGGGCCGTCCGCACGGCCGGCGCACCGGGGGTGACCTCACGGCGCAGCGCCCACATGCGCTGCGCCGTTTGAGCCAGGGAAAGTGTGCCCGCCGCTTTTGGGGCGCACTTTCCCTTAGATCTAAAAGGAGCGCCAATTTGGTGCTCCTTTTAGATGCGCCGACGGTGCGCCGCGGTGCGGAGGCTCCGCTCCGCCAGCACTCCGTCCGGCGGCGGCTCCAGGGCCTCCGTCTGCCGAGGCCCTATGACTCCAATTTATCAACAGGTAACAGTAGTTTTTGACTGATGAAATAAATTTAAGATGACATTACAGTGGAACATAGTAAAACTCAGTGGCAATTGGGCAACATGTGGTCCTTGGTCTAAATTCAAAAGAAAGCAAAAGTTCAGAGCTCAATCAGCCCTTTCCCAAGCAGCCCACTAAGTAGAAAGGAAGAGTAAAGGAGTACCAGGAAGTGAGGGAAGAAAGGTTCTGCCCGTTTCCAGCTCTGGACCAAACCACTGGAAACATACAGCACCAAAACATAACCTGAAGCACTGTGGCTCAGGACAGAAAAAGGGTTCCACATCCTTCTCTAAGAAGTCCTCTGGTCTGTTTATTTCACAGTATTTATTTCACTTAACAAGTTGACCTCTCAGTTTTCTAAAATCTTTGTGGTTTCCCTGGTGTGTTTTCTGTGGTGGGAAATACTACGAAACACACATCTTTAAGATTCAGGGTCTACTCTAAATCTCAGAAAGGCTGGTGGCAAGGGGCTAGTTCTCATTCTGATTGTGCTCCCAATGCAATCCCAGGATGAAGAGCTCTGTCTCTTTCAATAATGGATTCAACACAGCACCCACTCTGTGGTTTCAACAAAGAACCTTTGATTAAATATTTATTATGTTTCCAGCAGTTTGTACATCTAAATAGTAATTTGGCAGTAGCTTTGTGTACAAATGGACTAGAGTTTAAATGTCACATGCTGGAGAGCTGCACTGTAATTAATAAGTACTGATGATTAATAATAGGCTTCACAATAAACAACAAAGTAAAATTCAGTTGTTTACAAGTCCTTTGGGGGGGGGATGAAAGGAAAGCAACAAAAAACTTGACAGTTCCTTTCCTTTAAGTTAAGAGGAGTTTCTGGGTTGTTATTTTCCTCCAAAGGCTACAAAATGTCTGACCACTATAAAAACTAGTTTATTAGTTATCTACATCTATGGAAGTAGACTGGATTTTGGAACATATTTTCATCAGCAAAGGAAAAGTGGTGTACAAATATTTTAAATAAAAGAAAAAAAATAACAAAATCCTTTCTGCCCAGGACTTCTGGCTGGCACACAATTTTGTAAGCCTGTTCATGAGAACAGCTAATACAGCAGCTTAAGAGTGCCTGAAAGTAGTACACAGCCAAGAACGACCTGGATCCCTGCCCATTCAGTTTCAGCCTGTTGTTATAAAAGGAGAACTTCTATTATCAGTGGTTAGGCAGGAAATAGTTGTACTGTTGACATCAATTGGTCACTGAGCCTTCTGCTCTGACATTTAGTTGTCAGGGATGATGGGAGTTGTAGCTCTTCACCTCTGGCTCTAA